AACTTTCTTTCTTTACCATTTCTAACTGATGCTTTCAACTGTGAAATATTACTTACTAAGCAACCCTGTAATACTCGCTTGTTGTCACTACTCTAGATGCCTTTTAATGCAGAGGAGAACTTTTGCGTCCCTTAAGTGATAGGTGTTGGTATGACTTGCAAAATTTATTTTGGTGAGCTTAGATTGAATGAGGCGATGATTGAGTTATGATCCGACAATGAAGAAGACAATATCTCAATCTGTGTATATGCTTCCCAAGATATCCCTGTCATATATATATTTTTTTTAACCATGGGCGAGCAGGAGATGACTGGGAACCTTGCCAGGTGTACCCCGAGATATTTGGATAAAGCGTCCGATAGGCATCTATGAAGCCTTGAAATACTATAACGGCATTTAATAGCCTACTGTCCGCTCAAATCGGCTCCCTCTTAGGGCTCTCTAGACCCGATTCAAAGTCACATTCTAATCTGGTCCAATCAATAAATTTTTGTCCGAGTCTGGTACAAAACTTGGCAACTCTGATAGAAAATTATGTATCCAACTGAGGTGTAGTATATGCCATATGACATGATTGTCCATATTTCTTTCTCGAGGAGAATTTGAACCCATATCCACTTCCCCCAGATACCCATTATCTGGGGCGAGGTCCCACTAGCAACCGGATAGGATAGAAACGAGCTTGTGGGGCAGTTGAGTGACCCAAATCCTGCCACGCAGTACTCGTGATCCCACGGTCAATACTTTACATGTATAACCCAAAAAAGTAAGGAGATCTTTGTTCCTCTCCTCCTCCCCTTAACACTGGGCATGCCGGTGCAAAGAAAGTTTCCCGCCAGAATCTTTTCAATCTGTTGGGGGTGTGGCCAACCCCAAACGAGGTTGGGATCGGCCTTAGCCCACTGGATAGAAGATTTTCAACATTTTACTTGCTGTCATGCAATTATATCATTGGCCCATTGGGTGGAGCCCTCCTTCAATCACGGAGTATATGGAGGGTGTCAGAATCACTGCTGACAGAAGTCGATTTTATTCCAAAAAAATGTGGCGCTTACTTTGTTCACTGTTTTTGCAACCACCACCATCAGATCATTTGTGATCTGATGGCTGGGAAACACTCTGCCATGATTTCCGGTGGGAGATCTCTGTTTCTTTTCATGTTTTGGCCTTTTTCCTGCTTTCTCAGCCCAGAAATTCGTAACGACGTGTCTGGCCGCTGCCACTCAGTGTCACACCCTACGGGCCACACTCCTATCCGACTGCTAATGGGACCTCGCCCCTGGTCTCAGTGGTCTATAACAGTGACGTTTAGGTTCTTATGTATCAGACTTCCCCCCCCCTCGTTCCTTGAGGTCCGTTGTCTCCACCGGCAGGGGTCCAAAAACGTTTACCTTTCCACCGTTTTGAGACGTCTTTCATGCGGAATTCATCAAGCTTCGATTCTTGAATACAGACTATTTGTACCTTCTCGAATATATCCAACATTTGAAACAATCTCTTTTAGACTTCTTACCTATGTTGCATGACGCTATACGAGAACTGCCTCTAAGAGGCATCGTTTATCCCGCGGCTCAGAGCTGGACAACGCTTCGACCAGGGTTGGTAGGATATACTGCTCGGAGCTGGTTTCCACTACTGTCCAGTCCGGTCATCCCAGGAAGGCCGATGACGGTCCTCAGTAAGTAGGCTAAGGGGAGTTGGGGGTGCACTAGGGGCATTGAAAGAGGGGTTGTTTGGGGTCTTGTGAGGACGTGGCCGGTGGCCCCATAAGTAAAGAAGAGTGAGAAATGCAATTGAAAAGGCCTATAATTTGAAAAATACCGCCATAAGTTGTGAAATATGCCAAAATCTCCCTGAAAAATGTGGGTAGAGTGGGATGCCCCTATGACAAAAGAACTATTTTGATACCCCTGGTGTCGGTTGAACCCCCGATCTTTACAATATACCTACTGGGTACCGTCCGAAATTGGAATGTGCGCCCTTACTTGCCAACTTTTTCAAGGCCCTACTGCGAAGTGCCCAGGCCCAAACGGCGAGGTCCAGATTGCAAATTTGCAAACCGGCCTCACACAAAGATTTCGGCCCCAAAGGGCGTTTCTCTCTGCCGACATCTTTCAGGGGCATTTTGGCATATATCTCAACTTACGGGGACATTTTCCAAACTATCCCTTCAAAAGGGAAAAAGAATAAATGAAAAAAGGCAATGTTATAGGATAATTAAGTCAGAGATCACGCGTTCGATACCTTGCACGCAGCTGCACCCAATCAATGGAAACGTTAGTTTTTAAAGGAAAAAAAAAGAACAGATCTCTTTGAATTTGTACAACTACTGCATTGGGATTAACGACTAGAGTCAGTTCATTTGATAAGCCGGACTCTGTTTGAATTTGTACTGTACCAATTACAGCGTTGGGAATAACAAGGATATATCGTGCCCTGGCCGGTAGATCTCTCTCTCTCTCTCTCTCTCTCACACACACACACACACACACACACACACACACACACACAGAGTCAGATCCCAGATTCCGATCTCCCCGTTATCCGTGATTGCTTTTGATTTGATGAAAGAAAAACAATGCACGTATGCTGAGAACGACGTGGAGCGGCGTGGAGGAAGTGGGAGGTCGAGGAGTGAGTGAATGACGTCCAAAATTGTACGTGCCAAGACAGCAAGGAAGATCAAAAGCGAAAACGTTTCCCAGAGATACAGTTGGAATTCAAAAAGCAGCTAGTAATACCGTTGAAGAAGCCAATGTGCCAACCTTCTCAATATTCTTCACAATGAACGACTTTCATCACGGCTACAGGGAAACTCCCCTTCCCTTCGAAGGCTCTCAGCAGCCAGGCGATCGCAAGAACTTCCAAAAACACAAAAAACAAAAAAAACAGCTTCCGATCTGCAAACGACAACAGCCGGCAATCGGCGAACCCTATAGGACGTGTGTGTGCGTGAGAGAGAGAGAGAGAGAGAGAGAGAGAGAGAGAGAGAGAGAGAGAGAGAGAGA